AGCTGCGGTTGTTCAGTGAGAAAGAGAATGAGAGCTAAAAGCTGATTGTATAGGAAAAAGTAAAGTTAAGTTTAAGTGAAGAACAGTTAAAGGAAAGTCTGAGTGTCCTAACTAACTGGAGTGAAACAGTGAACATATATGGCATTGAGATAAGCAGATGTTACAAAGTTACATGCAAAGATCCCTGTCAGTGAGGGATAAGATTGAGTGTGATACCAAAGCAATTGTACATCATTTACACATTACTAGTTACCTTGTATCACCCTCTTATTTAATATTTATTTCAATAAATCCTCTTTTATTCAAGTTTATACCAGCTATGAACGAAATACTTCCCAGGACCACATAGTCCCTCGTAAGCCTTAAAACTCGGTCTACCAAACTAGTAAGAGCCAAAGTAAAAGCATAAAGGTTTGGAAATCCTTAAAATTTCCTGGTGGCAGCAGAATCTACCCAGTAAAGAAAAATAAAGTGAACTTTTAAAGTGAAACTAGTCCTCCCCAATAAGGACTTATTGTCACAAGGACGTCACAGTTACACTTCAGAAAAACACGTCGTGGCTACCACACGGGGCAGCCTGGTATTCATGACCTGCTCAGATTGTCAGTAAACCCTTTTGGCTTCTCTTGCCAGCCATGACACATTTCTGCAGTAATGCTGCTTTTGCAGCTGTTTTGTTTTTCGCTTGCTTTGGCTACATATTAAGTGGCTACAAAGTTCCAGACAGTCATAGCACTCTTTGCCTGAGAATCCCCTGCCCACAGAGAATTCCCTCAGCAGAGGAAGTCCCACCCACTAGTGATAAGATGATGATTAACCTTCATAAAATGTTGCACCAATGTGCTGTCATAGACACACACACACCCCAATTCCAGAGGCATTTCTCAACCACAGGGAAACAGACAGCCACTGGGCAAATCTGATTAGAAGTATTTCTTCCTATCCCACCAGCACCAAGAGTTGCCCGTGTCAACTGGAGCCTAGCTCAAGCAAGCAAAAAACTTTGAAAGGTTGCTTTGAGGGGAAAAAAATTAATAAAGCCCAAGATGACGTGCTGCTAGATTAACACCATGATTTGCAAGTAAATCTCTTTGGCTAAAGACCTTTCTTCTATGAAACTGGATCAATGGTGAATGTGCGGGAACCCAGACTGATACAGATGACCACAACAACATTACTGAAATAAAGTGAAGACAGACCACTGCATAGCTGGGCAGCTTTCTAGAAATACTGTACGTGCAATGGGCCCATGAATACACCCACCAACTCACATATAGTGTAACATGTCATATGAACATCCATCTTTGTGCGTGTGACATCACGGAGCTCCAGAACCCATTCACCAACAACAACTCTCTTTTTTTTGAAAATTGAAAAAAATTGCAAGGATTGGGTGTACAAATTTATGGCTGTACTTTGGGTATCCCTGCACCATACTACAAGGCTCTGGAATCTGTGAATGTTGTTTGGTATGTATGTATCTGAGGAAAGCAATGTAATAGGACTGCAGTAGAGATACACTTCACGGAGAGACGCAAGTCTTACTGGTGAAGGTGCCCATCACTTTGCCTTCCAGTTTCTTAGCAACCGATTCACAGAGCTGGACGGCAATGTCAGCTGCAACATTCTTGGCTTTAGGAAGAGAGAAAACCAAGTGAATTAAGGTTTTAACAATACTAGTTCAGACAGTTTGGAGAGAGATTTGCTTACGTGCTTCCTAATGATTTGTAGATAGACGTTTGCAGCCCACCCTCCCTCCAAGGAGCCGAGGATGGCATTCAGCCACACATTAATGTGATTTAGCTGGTTAGTCTGCGAGCTGAACTGTCCACATGCATTCTGTGAAATTTGCAGCTCCTTGGAGATTTGAACCGGGCATTCCCAGTTCTGAGCAATCTTGCTCCTCTTTAGAAGACAGCTGCTCACTGCATGGTGCTGAAGTTAAGGTAGTCATTGCAGGGCATTCCCATGCGGTTTAAGCTCCTCAGAGGAAGTATGACGTATCAACTCTTAAGGGAGACATATGACAGGTACAGAAGGCAGATTCAGGTGGGTGGCCGTATTGGTCAGAAGGCATTACTGATCTCACATGAGAGGAAAGGATCCCTGTATGCTTGGCAACTCATCTGATCTGCTCGTGTAAATATTTAGCAGCACATACGCTTCATTAGGTAACAACTGAATGCTCTCATAGGGTCTATTACCCCCAAAAGTCCATTTAGACTGCTACTGGAGGCAGGGAATTGAAGGCTCACTTGACCTACATGGACAATAGAGATTCTGAAAATAAACCAGCTTGTATTAGGCACAGTCTGTATATTTTAACATTCTGTGCTAGGGATGTCTGTTTATAGTATAGTCTGTACCCAGTGTGCCTGGATGATACAAGTGGCTGGGACTGCCAAAGGGCTAATTTTGACAGCACAGAAGGCCAAAACAACCACCAACATATATTCTGAGATGAGACATCTGACTGACTTGGTAAGAAGAAGAAGAGGAAGTGTGTTGAGGAAATGGATCAAGAAGAGTCTTGGAATGCTATTTGGAATGCATTTCATCACCATCTTGGGGATTACCCACACCACAAATTATGCAGTCAGCCATCCCCATTTATCCCTGTTATCTCTCCCTCCTCCCTTTCTCTTGTCTTCCATCTAACAACTGAACCATCAGGAAGTACCACACTTCTAAAACTCAGCTGAGTAAGGGTTTCTCTTCTATTTTGCCCTATGAAATGAATGAGACACAGTTCCCCCTCGGTTACAATGCAGGTGAGATGGACAGAATGCCTGAACCACCATGGCAACGGACAGCCCAAGTCAGCTTAGGCGTGTGTCCTTCCAGAGGTACACAGAAACTTACCAATCAGGTGATCCTTCATCTTCTCCAGCACAGGGTCCATGTCCTCTCTGGTTAAACTTTTAGAGCCCACAAGGCCTTTCAGCATCCCAAACATGCCTCCAAGGCCACCTTTCTTAACGCTGGAAAGGAAAAGGTGCTGTTACGCATCACATGGCTTTATGAAGAAACCAGGCATGAGATGAAGACCAAGACAGTATTCGGTTCCTCTTGACCTTCAAAAAACCACCACAGCTCTTTGTATGCAGTGTCTGCATGAACATCTGATAATGGGCTTGGTAAAAAGATGGCCTTAGCAGTATTCAACTGAATCCTAGCTGCAGTACAGCACAGGGGTGTGTGTGTTAAGTAAGTACCTCTTTGCACAAAAAAGTGAGGCCTTTGGTTTACCTAGCTTCTTTGTTTGCAACAAACATGCACTCTTTACAACAGAGGGTCCTAGGAGTCAGACTTAAAGGCACAATTGATTCCCCGTTTGCCAAGGTCTGCAGTGAAGCACAAAGCAAACCCAACTCATTTCATGAGAACAAAATAAAAGATCAGGGAATTAACTTCCCAGGGACAACAGCTAGTTAAGTTTCATGGCCATGCAAAACTTGCATTCAAGCAGTGCTGTGTGTATCTTGGGCAGAATCTATCCAACTGGTGCTTTTTTTTGGAAAGGAGTTATTATGTTAGTGAAAAATACTGGGTACATCTGGGTGATATCAGGATCAGAACTCTACAGGATCGGGGGGGGGGGAGATGCCCATTATTATTTATTCTATTCCTACCCCCACCTTCCTTCATTCTTCAGCCAGTACCTCTGGCACAGAAGCTACACACAGAGCAACTGGGGGCACTTTAGAAATGGGAATGTGGGATGCGCCCAAAGGGCCAGAGGGGCCTCACCTGGCACTTGAAGAGTTGTGAACCACCTTCTCTTCTTCGGTTTCTTCTTCACTCTCATATTCCAGATCACGGAGACGGCCAGGCTCACGGTCAGGATCCGCAAGGACCTGAATTGGGGGAAAGAGAGAAATCTGGGAGTCAACATACATCCCACTCCCATGTTCGCACATGAACCCAAGTGAACAGTATTAATTACTTCTCAAAGGGATATTCTGGAGAGTGGGCCCTGCATCTGTACCCTGTTTCCAAGAGTTAGGAGTACACTGTGCTGCTTCTCTTTCTCTCTCTCTTTCTCTCAATGAGAATTCATGGTCAGCTGAAGACATTCCAGAGTCCTTGGCTCTGCTTCCTACATCAGAAACCGCCCAGATGAGATGCCAGGAATTCTGTGTTCAGAACTCCAAAAACTTTTTTTCTTTGAAAATAAAAGGAGTACTGGAGACTGATTCAGATTGGGGCTACAGGGGCTACGCACACTTGGGTGCCAGTTTCCAGACCTGAAACAGTTCCAAAGAAGAGCAAAGGTGCAGGCAGCATAAGGGGGTCCGTATGTATTCCCCCATGGGAAACAGCATCTCTGCAGGCTTGTTTCAGGTTGGAGGAACAGCACAGAAGAAAAATACAGCCTCCCCCAGTCCCAGTCAGAAACAGACCTCCCCAACTGGGTGTAACTTACAAAGAAACAACAAGTGGGAGCTCCAAACATGGAATCCCCACCATCTTGTCTAGTTTGACCCAGAGTCTCCCTTAGAAGGAGAAGAGCAAGAGCAGATCCCACTTCATACTGCCAAACCACACAGCCCCTTAAAAAAAAAAAAAAAATTAAGTCCATATTTCTGTTCACTCTTTGCTTTAATTGCTGAAGAAATAGTACTGGAAGTAAAAAGCATTAAGAACACAGTGAGGTTGTTAAGGCCATGTGCATAGGAGCCGTTAAGTTGTGTCACAATGGCAAATGAGCCTGTTTTTCCAACAGCATTTATGAGAACATTCTTGGAAGAGAGGCCTTAAGAACCCCACCATTCATCTAAAGTCAAGTCCTCAAGTCCCTTGTCTCACCATTCTTTTATAAATATCAGAAGCTGTTTCACAGGTTCACATTAAGACAGGGGGAAAAGGCAGGCAAGGATATTAATTCCTATGCTAAGGCTGCAGTCTTATGTACACATTCTTCAAAGTAGCTTCCAACTGCTTACTTATGTTACTGTTTTTTTCAGTCAGCATCATTAGCTTCCGACTAAGCATGTACAGGATTGTGCTGTTAGCTTACACATCTGACAGCCTGAATTAATGTTTCACTTTTGCATATGACAGCTCAGCCACTGACTGGAGCACCTTCCCAGATTAGGTGAAGAGAAGAGTACACATCCCAAACTTCTGGAATGCAAGCTGCTCTGGTTCACTTGAGTGAAAGGTAGAGAGTGAGGCATTTTACTGCAGTTCTACAGTACCATGCCAGGGGCTCAAGCAGGTATTTTGCATTCTGACAACAACCAGAAGTGTTTTGGATCTTACCATATCTGGGTCATACTCTTCCACAGGACAAGCGTCTGCATTTCCATTGGTAGTTGAGTTACTATAATCAAGTACTTTGGCATTAGAGTTCCCCAGATCCCACACCCTGGGCTTCTTCCCCTTGTCTTTTGAGGTGTCCGGCTTTGGGGACTTGCTAGGAAAGCAGAGCAGAAAGTCCATTAGGTCTTAACAGTGAGGGAAATCACAGCTCCAAATCATTTATAGCAGCAAACTTTGTGGACTCAATTCAAACTCCGTGCTCTGTTACACTTTCCAATATCTAACTCAAACTCAAATTAAGAGGGGTGTGTGTGTGTGTATGTCCCATTCACTGCAGTAGTTTATTTCTGAAAATAGTCCCCAAAAACATAAGCCCTGTGCTTACTGAGCTCATAAAACTACGGCTGCGTTGTACTACATGAGGCTTGGGGGGTGGGTGGGGTGCCTGTGACTGGATGATCCTCCACCACACAAAGAATCCCCTCTATCTAGAAAGCTGCATATCAGTGAGAGTGTTCTTCATGCATGGAATGTTTAATGTATAGAAGCACTCCTGCCTGCAGTCGGAAGTAGCACAGAGCCCACATGCATGTTTACGACCCCAGGGAGAACTTGGCCTGAGAATACTGACACTCTAAGGTACATGAACCTGTGGGAAGCACAGCTTAATGAGGACTGCTGCACATGTTCCGATACTTGCAGGTCATTCCATGTGCACCTGGTAAGATACACACTTTCTTTTACAGCCTATATTAATACCACATACACCCACAGCCAATCATGGATCCCTCCAGTGGATGTCTATGGTCAAAGAAAAGCTTATTTCTCCCACATATTACAGTGTACGTCTGGCTTACACATGGCATGTGCCATCTAATTTTGTGACATGCAAAGCTGCCATTACCGTTCCAAAGCATTTACAGAAAAAAGAGGTCACCCATCAAAGCCACCAATGGTGGCTGGAGGAACTCTATGAAAATGAAGCAACCTTCATTTCTACATGAAGATTAAACAAGTCCAGCATGAAGCTGTGCCTTTCAAGGTGAAGTCAGTCTCACTTCATCTGCACTCAGCCTTACTCTCGCTAGTTCTCAGGGGCCATGGTAAACTTTTACAGCTCAGGGACACATCTACAACAACGTGACTATCCGCACTCTGAGTGTCAGGATGCCGAGGCAAGGCAACACGCTTACTTGGGTTTCTCTCCCCCCTTCAGGCGTTTCCTAAAGAATTCCTCCCGGTTCTTCTGCAGGATCTCATCCTTGGTCAGTTCCTCCCTGTCTCCGGCTGCGACAGGAAGCTCCTCCTTAACAGCAGGCACTACTTTGGGGACTGCAGCTGTTTCAGCTCCTGAAACTAAATAAAATGGCCTTGTCACAATAAAACACAGCGACACAGAAGGACAGAGGTGTGGCAGTCCCGGCCTTAAGACAAAGTGGTTAGTGAAAAACAAACGAGCATTGCTAAACTGGTCCAGCTGTGCAGATCTAGCAAAAGCCTGAACTGGGGCAAGGGAGGCATCCCTCAGTAAAATGAGTTAAGATTATATACATCTGATGCTTTTGGCTCCTCAACTAAAGCTATTGCGCATTTGCATGTCAGGGTGTCCCTGTTTATTTTACTGAGTGTGATCGTTCTGCACAGCCATACGCGCACTGAGGCGTGGAGAACAATAAAAATTCTTTAAGTCTTAAGAACATTTTAGCTTATGGATCTGCACCAGCACAGGCATGGCAGTCACCTACTCACCTTCCTTTTTGGAACCTTTGTTTTTCTTGTTCTTAGTTTTCTCTTTTGGTTTCTCCCCTCGAGTTTCTATCATAGACTTCACTGTTTTTTGGGACTTTGCCGACTGTTCAAATGTCTTCATGGCAGTGGGAGCTCGGACTTTACTGCTCTCCTCTGCTTCCCTGGTTGAAAAGGGGGGGGGGGTAGGTTACACAACTGTGCCCATTACTCACCATGCAGAACAATACACATTTGGAATTCCTGTCCCTACCCTCCTTCTCCTAGAGAGAACATCTCTTGGAATGATCTGACCATGTTCCCCTCCTTGCCCCAAAGCAACAAACCATTTGCCCCTCTCCCTTTCAAAAATTAAAACTTATTTTTCCCTTGTAATTTTCCTTGTTGAAGTTTCCTAGGGAATGTACTGTTCGCAGGGCCAGATTTAGCCCCATACCAAACCCCATTCAAAAGCAGCCTTTCATCAAATCCGGGTTTAAGGCTAGTTCTGGATCTCAACAGGTGCTAAGAAACAAGCTACAGATAACAAGGTGTTTAAAAAACCCTGTTAAAAACAAACTACAAGTAAATTCACTGTCTTTCAAGGGTGAACAAAGCTATTAGTCACATTTCTTATGCTGCTTTCTAGGGGCCCTAGTGCCCTTGAAAAGCTGACTCAAAAACCACTGATTGTAGTCGTTTTCTACCTTACTTCCAATGCACATCTCCTGGTCCCTGCTGAGATCTACCTCCTCTTGTTTTCCTACCTGTTAGTGCTGCCCCCCCTTCCCTCCTAAATATAGCACTGGCCACACAAGGGCAAATTTACCACATTCTCTCTATGGAGAATGACTGGTCACCTCTTAAGGCCACAAGCATGACTCCTGCCAACCCTGAAGCTGAAAGCTGGTGGAGATACTGGCAAGCGCAGCCCCAGTCTTGTCCCTTAGTACATCACTGCTCACACTGCAAGTTGTTCTGAACCAAGCTGGGAAGACCAGGCCAACTTGGCTTAGTTTAACAAATACCTCAGTACCCAGGGGATATATATACACAGCTCTGCCAGTGGGCGACCTTTTTCTATTGCAGTCCAGGTTTATCCAAAAGACATAATGAGCATAGGAAAAGCCAAACACAGCAAAGATACACAGTTTATTAGTAGGACCATGCTCCTTTCTGCCTGCACTTATCATTTCTATTGAGGCCATGTCCTCAGCTTGGAGAACGCAAGACACTTGGAACAAGACAACAAACAGGACCGTGGGTGAAACCTGAGCGCTGAAAGGGTGTAGCCTGTTACCGTAAGAGGCGTAAAAAATCTTCTTTAAAATCAAAGGTGCCATTGAGAAGCCCAAGAGTTCCCTTCTGTTGGAATTCATTGCGATATTTGTCCCGGAACTCCTTATGAACATCGTCTATCAACTTGTCCACGTAGGTTAGGGTCAGAATTTTTTGAAATCCAACCTGCCAGAGAACTGTGATTATTATCAGAAAAACCAGAATGACATTTTAATTAGCTCTAAAAAAGGCAGCTCATGCACAGTTCTTTCTAAACAGTGAATAATCCAAAGAAGGAAGAACATTTGTGAAAGGCTGCCATCATGACAAAGGGCGGTGGAAGACTCAGGGAATGTTCAGCGCTGTTCAGAGTCTTCCAAATCAAAGGAAACAGAATGACAGCTGACAGGCTCGACAACCGTGGGATGAGAAAAAGTCTTTCAAAACACTATCTGTTCTTCTGCAGTCTTTTAGAAGCCCTCCTTCTGTTTCCGTTTCTTGCCTCAAACACAGTAATGCACTTACCACAAAGACCAACTCAAACTGATTGTCCAACTTGTACTTTAGTGTAAGGGCTTCATGGTTGAAAGAGTTACTGCCACCTCGCTCCTGAAAAGACAAATGGGGGGGGGGAGTACATTAGCAAGGCAAGCTGAGTCACATAAGGCCCACATTACAGAAGCCATAAAGATAGAGCTTCAACTTTGTTGGCATACAAAAAGGCTGGTGACCTATTTTTTTCCTGCCTGCTGTGCAGGACGGCTAGAATTAAAAAAAACAACCCCACCCTAGGAGGCAGTGTCAAATGCAAGTATCCAAGCAACCAGGTATCTTAGGTCTTATTTTTTCCTGCCTGCTGTGCAGGAAGGCTAGAATTAAAAAAACAACCCCATCCTAGGAGGCGGTGTCAAATGTAAGTATCCAAGCAACCAGGTATCTTAGGTTTTCCCAGACCTGTTTATAAACATCTATTGTTTCAAGGTCACTTGATTTACCTCTAACTCCTTCAACTCAACCAGCAACACAGTTTCTGCCAAAATAAGATTAAGACGTTTTGCTATCCAGGATCAGCTGTATCCTCACTTATCCTGCCAGTATAACAAAACACCCAGTGAGTGATTCTTAGTACAACTTCTGTTGAAGTACCTTGGCTTTGTGAGAGGCACACAGAGAGTTAGCCTGCTTCTGAAGAAATCAGCATTGGAATATTGTGCATGTATGTGCAGAGGAAGGCCTGGTGTGATCTGGTCCATGGGGTCGCGAAGAGGCACTTGACTGTGCGACTGAACAACAAAAATGTGCAGAGGGTGAATCTCAGACACTTCTGAAGGGTTTAAGGTAGTGTGCTGGGGAAAGACCTCTGCCTAAGACTCTGAAGAACTACTGTTAGTTAGGAGTGATTACAGTAGGCTGTATGGACCACTGGTCTGCCTCAACATGAGACTGTTAAACACCACCACCCTTTGATAGCAAACAAGAAGTGAGGAGCCAGAGAAAATGCAACAGAAAATCCGTGATCAGGAGGTGATATGCCAGCAAGCTAACATGCGTAACACAGCCACACCCATGTGGAAGAACCAAGGCAGGCTGAGCACCCCTTCATTAGCAGAAATGAGAATAAAGGAGACAGAAGATAACCCAGTGAAATGTTCCAATTATAGGATATTGCTAATCATTTGTTGAATCCCATGAAGATACATTCTGAAACAAGGAACATGTTTGCAGGGCAGTACCATATGGCAATCCAAAGCATAGGAAAAATGAAAAGAGCATACTCTTTTTGCCTAGAAAGCGGCCTTCTAAGTGCAGGTAGTGTGGTCCAATGGCCAAAGAATCAGGCTTGGACCCAAAGGACTAGATCAGATCTCACCTACCTGAGACACAGGGTAATGATAGTCAAATCATCACATCAGCCTCAAACTCTTTTTGCGTGCAAGGAAAAAAGACAGAGGAATATTGTGGCACCAGCTGCTACATTACAAAAGTTTAGTATGCTTTAAGCAGAAACTCTAAGACAAGAAAATCAGAAGCATTTTACACTTCTCATGTAGGTTTAAGCCCAGACCCAAGTTTCAAACAGGATGTAAATCCAGAGGAGTTAGACATGTTAGTCTGTTGCTGCAAAGTAGTAAAAAGCCCAGTAGCACCTTTAAGACTAACCAACTTTATTGTAGCATAAGCTTTCGAGAAACACAGCTCTCATCTGACAAAGAGAGCTGTGTTTCTCAAAAGCTTATGCTACAATAAAATTGGTTAGTCTTAAAGGTGCTACTGGGCTTGTTACCATGAAACAGGATGCAGATCTAACAGTCTCATCTAATGAGGCTACTCTTAGTTCTTTCAGACTGATGGTATGAACTACAATGTGCAATTAAAGTATCCCAAATACACATCGTTGCTCAAGCACGGGTGTACTGCCATCCCTCCCTCTGCACTTTCCTTCTCATGCTTGACACTGAAAAAGTATTATCATTAGGTGTGGAAACCATACACAGGCAAGCTGAAGTCCAGTTTAAGAAATACTCCAGAATACTTAGAAATAAGTAACCTTTGCATTACTGTTCTTGGACAAGGAAAGAGGATTGCAATACGATCAAGGGATGGATTAAATTAAAACAGCAGAAGGGAGAAGGGCTACAGAATGAAATTCAGGAAGAAAAGGTTTGGGAGAGGGGATGCCTTTACTTTTTGTTTCCTCACATGGAACTGCCTTTTCAGGTGTGCAAAAAACCCTCCAAAATCCCTGGAAACATGGCAGGTGCACAGACTGATATTAAAAAAAACACGTCAATATTACACACCTATAATTTTCTGAACTAAGAGACGGCTACTAGAAAACAAGAAATCTGCTAAAATAAGAAATCTCTGGAGGAAATATTAGACTTCAGCATTCAAACCTGCAATTTAATGGCCAGGCTTATTTATTTTCCCACCAGATAATGTAACTTATTTGTAGTGAACCGCTAAACAAAATTCCCTACAGATTTTAAATTAAACACAACTTGCACCTTGCTGAATTTTTTTTATTGCATTAGTTCCTTTCTTTTGACAGTAAGGTCCTCAAAGTGGCATGCAACATTTAAAGACACCCATATATTCACTTTAGATAAAGGTACATGCACAAGCAGGTATGCACACTAAACTATCCCTTAGTTCGCTGACTTTGCAGTCAACATTCTGATGCTTACTGCAGAAACCCAATTTCTTCCCTGACCAGCGCAGCTCAGAAACTAATCATGACACACAAAACAGCCTGTCAGGAAACAGATGTGGATGAAGCACAGAAGGTGAGAGAACGGGGGTTATGATCCAGGAGGTCGCTGGTTCCAAACCTACCTCGGCCACAGGCTCAACATCTGAAGAAGTGAGCAGCGACTCACGAAAAGCTGACCCAGATTTTGTTAGTCTTTAAGGTGCGGCTGGGCTCCCTCCTCTTTCCTACTGCATTAGCTCACCAGGCAAACCACGCTGGCGCAACACCAGCCCTACGATACACGGCTAACAACATCGGCCTGCCTTACAGGCCTGTTGTAAGGCTCCCAGCGAGAACATACGCGAGGCACTTTGAACACTTGAAAGCGGGACATGGATGCGAAGTACTCTGTGTTGTTATTATGAAAACAAATAACCCTGGAGAAACAAATAACCCTGGAGAAAAGATCTCCTCCTCAATACCCAAAGCTCGAGAAGCTACGAGCGAACGAAGGCCTGACCGGGGGGGGGGTTCTGGCCTGGAGGAGGACAGACCGAATGAGCGCGTTCACGGGCGCAGTGCAGGCCGCCGCGGGGCCGCGCACGCCCTGGAAGCACCACAGGACAAGGCCCCCTTTGCTGAAGATGGTGAAGAAATCGAGCATGGCGGAATCGGGGGGCTCCGGGCCTCGCCCGGGGGAAGGAAGGGGGGAAGCTGAGGTAACGGGGTCTGAGGCGCCGGGAAACCAGCCCGACTTCCTTACCCACGTCAGATTAGTCTCTAACACTACGCGTCACTTCCGCCGGAAGCGGCCGGTCGAAAACGGACCGGGGCCAATGGAGGAAAGAAGACCTATGATTGGGTCTTGTCGTCGGAAAGCGGAAGTTGGCCAAACCATAGAGAGTGAGAAAAGACAGTCCGTTTGAAAAATCTCTCTCCGTCAGGGGGCCCGTGTGAGAGGTAAGTAAGGGGCGGAGCTGAAAGATTAGTTAGGGTAGATTCAACCAATCGGGGGCATAGGGGCGGGGCGTTAGCCTGCAGCACCTCTTGCGCTTAGGGCGCGCTCATTCAGGTTGCGGGATGATGCGCGGAGGGGTGATGTTTGGCCGTCTGCGGCCCCTGGTGGCGGCGGCTGGGCGGCCCCTCGCCAACCCCGTGGAGCCTCGCCGGCAATTCCGCACTGGCGAATCCCGGCAACGCGATCGCTTCCGAGGTTATGAGCCGCGTGGTTCCTGGGGTAATAAAATCTCTTACATTCACGCTGTGCATGCATTTGAGAGTATATAAAAAGTTTGTTTTTATTTTGTTCTGTTGCCCCTTTAACCTGCTTTTTCTCCAGAGGAATCCAGGGCGACATATATGGTTTTCTTTTTCTGCCTGCTACCCTGCGGTAACCCTGAGAGGTAGGGTGGGCTGAGAGAGAATGGCTGGCCCAAAGTCTCACAGTAGCAAGTGGGGATTTTAACCAGGGGTGGACTACCCTGCCTAGTTCAGCAGTTCAGTAACTATACTAGAAAAAGTACCCGCATTTGTGAAGCGGGGTGTGTGGGGTGGGCGGGAGCATGTTTTCAGGGATTGTTGATACCGCAAGCATGTGCCAGTGCAGGAGGCTGAAGTGACAGGATGCGTTTTCTGCTTCGAAGCTGCCCATTGCTTTGGGATGTTCTGCCTTGTTAAAAGGTTTTCGCTTATAAAAATGGTGCTGTATGGGGTCGTGAAGAGTCGGACTCAACTGTGCCACTGAACAGCAACAACAAAAAGAAAAAGAGAAGAGAATGGATTTATACCCCGCCCTTCACTTGGAGTCTCAGAGCGGCTTACAAACTCCTTTCCCTTCCCCTCCCCACAACAGACACCCTGTGAGGTGGGTGGGGCTGAGAGAGCTCTGACACAAACTGCTCTTTTTCAAGGACAGCTGTGCCAGAGCTTGTGACTGACCCAAGGTCACATCAGCAGGTGCAAGTGGAGGAGTGGGGAATCAAACCTGGTTCTCCCAGATTAGAGGCCGCACACTTAACCACTGCACCAAACTGGCTCTAAATATTTTCTCCAAATAAAGGGAGGGACCAGAACTTCTTTATTTTTGTTAGTGTTCTAGTTGCGTTGCGGGAGAAGCTAGTGGGTCAGTGGTAGAGCATTTGCTAGGCATGTAGAAGGTCCCCAGGATCTCTAGTTGAAAGGTGATGTGAAAGACTCTCTTCCTGAGATCCTGGAGAGCTGCTGCCTGTCTGAGTAGACAAGATTGATTCAGAATGAGGCAGCGTCATGTGTTCATTTTAAAAACCCCACGCTGAGGACAGTCCCAGGATGTTCTGAAGATACACAGGTGCCTTGATGGGAGGCTGCTGGGGACCCCTTTCAACCCTGCCTTGAGTTTCATGATGGAGGAAAGGCAAAATGTACACCTGATGTTCCAAAGAGATCCTCCACCACCTGATGCTCCCCCCAAAATCTGCCTGTCTGAAGTTCCATTTTATTACCCTTTATTCCTTCCCACCTCACTCCCTAGGCTGTGTGGATCTGGGCTTGAGGCTTGATTGAAATAAGGCATGAAGCAAAAGATATTGCCTGAGTGACTTTGAATGCACCTGACCTCTCATTGCAGCTGTGCTGGTACTTGTGAAAACCAAGCTAGTAAACCATTGCAATATCTGTGGAGGCCCTGCACAGGTAGCAAGCCCAGTGTGAATGTGATGTGAAGGAGCTTTTCTTTTTTCCCATCTATGTTATATTTAACACAGCCCTCAGACTCAGTTTCTGGGTGCACCAGAAAGTGGTGGTAGAATCCTAAAATTGTGGTGTGAACTGTGTCACTTCAGAGCACAGGCTCCATTTTTAATATTCCCTATTTATTTTTTAAAAACCTGCTGCAATTAAATTATTGAAAAATAGCCCATTCTCTGTTGCATGTATCATCTTAAGGGGCTTCTACTCTCCCCCCATGCATATAGGACTTCATTAAAATATGATCTCACATACACATGCTGAAGTGGTACAGACCAGTTTACAACCTTTGGACTGTACCACTTTATCTTGCATTAGAAAAGGCTTCAGATAGGGCTCCCAAATCGCGGCGAGGGATCTGCATGTCTTTGCAGAATCCGTGCCGCTGGGACAGCGAGACGCGTTGCACCGCCGTCACCAGGACATGACGCTACGCATCGCTCTGGCAATGGGGCTGTTTGGAGCCCCGTTGCCAGAGCGATGCGTTGCGTCAAATCCTGGCGACCGCAGGTGCAACATGTCTTGCTGTCCCCACGGCATGAATTCTGCGAAGACATACGATCCCCCGCCGCAATTTGGCAACCCTAGCTTCAGAAGAGGCATTCTGTGGGTGGTACTAGCTGGCTTCTTTTGGGGGGCAGGAAAAATATATTCTGAACTGTAAACTGCCATGTTACATTGCTTGTCTGTGACAAAATCACAACCAAATTCTACCATTGAAGAATACTCCCCTCCTCCTACACTTGAGTTCTGTGTAAATCAGAAGCTTACAGATGTCCTCAAGTATATGAGTTGACTGAACATTGTGGGCGGTTTTTCAAAGTCCTTCTTGGGTCATCAGAACCAAGCAATTACTGGGGCACAAAGTGCAAGAGAATCACGGAGTGTGATAAAAGTCACCAAGGCCAATGAAGATTTTGCTGTTTCATTTGGTACATTATTAACTAGTGCTGTGCCCTGCTGCGTTACTATTCTGCACTAATGTAACCTGTGTTCTAGAGTGGAAGAAGTTGGATTCTGCTGGATTTACCCAAAGTCCATCTAATCCAGCATTTTGTTTCCAGTGGTCAATAGCCAGATGCCTCTGGAAGCTCCCATACTAGACAAGGTGAATGCTTCCTCCCTTAGCTTACTTCCCAAGTCTGTTACTCAGAGATGGTGGAGGTGGTCATTCTTGGGTAATGTGGGTTTTTCTGGGCTCAGGATGTTCTAAAAGTTCACGAACCAGAACAAGGTTCCCAGTCTCACATTTTGCATAAAAAGGGGAATGGATAACTGCATTTCATTTGTACATTTTTATATGCAAACTAAGTTAGAAGTTATGCATTTTTGTTGTTAAAACAGTAAAATAAGTAAGCATTGTCTACATCTTAGCTTCCCCCCCCCATTTTTTTTCCCCTCAGGAAAAAAGGGTGTGTTTTCTCGCACTTCAATGTTTTGGGAAATCTTACATCTTTAGTCAAGAAGGGGGATTCAATTGTTGGGGAGCTTTCTGTTTCTTCACTGAGGAAATGCCATCTCTGGACACCTTTGAGCCAGTGTGGGGTAATGGGCAAAGGGGCGGGTTCAGCTTTTCGAGCTCCCACTTGGCTACGTGGTTGCAGGGGATTTGCAGCTGCAGGGTAGCACTGGGTATTTTCTAAATCTATTCTGTCTGCCCTTCAAGACACTCAAAGTGGTTTTTCCTTTCCTCCATTTTGCCCACAAGTGAACCCTGAAATGTAGGTTAAGCTAAGAGGGAGCAACTGATCCAAAAACTGCAATGTCAGCTTCATGGCTGAGTGAGGATTTGAATTTAGTGGCTTCTAAAGTACATTCTCAGTTCACATGGGCTGGTAGCGGAGTCCAGTAGACCTGGCTTGAACCCTTGTGTAAATGTAGAGTGGAATACTTTTCAAAATCTTTTGCAGCAAACTGGGGTCTCAACTAAAACTTTCTGGGCCTCCTTGGCTGACACATCAATGAATAAAAGATTCCCTGAATGTAAAACATTTATGGATTGTTGTAAGGTGCCCTGACCCTGCCTTGGCGGGAAGGGCGGGGTATAAATTAAATAAATAAAATTTTAAATGGGCTTTTTTCATAGCAAAGATGGTGGTTTTATATCTCTGTTGAATACACTGAATGCTGTTTGCTCAATCGTCTCCATCTTTATATATGTTTTTAAAAGTTAATTAAGTAACAACAAACTACAAGAAAGGAAAAAGTAGCATTCCACAGAGGTTGGCAATATGTGTACAGAATTATACCTTCACTTTTTTAGATCCCAGAAACCAGTAATATTCGCTCAGTTGTTAGCGGACTTTTGTTTTGTGCACAGATTTTGGGAAGGAGATGGCGGAGTTCCGCAAGAAGCTGAAGGAAGCCCTTCCCGGTAGCGACTGGAACCCTCTGGGCATTTCGAAAGATCTCCCTCCCGAGTGGGCGGACATAGTCATTGTTGGAGGTGGGATAATTGGCTGGTCCGTTGCCTTCTGGCTGAAGATGAAAGAGTCGCAGAGAAATGCAATTCGGGTGGTTGTGGTTGAGAGGGACCTCCAGGTGAGTCCCTGTTGGTCTGAGATCAAAATGGGGCCTTGCTCAGGAGAAAATCTGAAGCATAAAGTTTAAGGGGAAGTGTGTCTGATGGGCTGCTGCAGTACGGGTTCCCTTCTGTGACGAGGACCTGACTGAAACTGGAGATAGTCAGGAAGGCCGTTCACTCTGTTGCATGTATAAACAAGAAAGAGAATGGTGGCAGTTCCTAACTTAAACAAGAATCCTATGGGTGTACAAGAAGCTAACAAATGTAACTTTTCAATTCAAATTTTATTGATTTATACCCTGCCTTTCTCCCCAATGGGGACTCGAAATTGCTTATATCATTCTCATGCCCTCCGTTGTATCCTCACAACAACTGTGTGAAGTAGGTTAATATGAGGGTGCGTGGCTGTCCCAAATAGGGTTGCCAGGTTCCCTTGTTGCTCCAGCAGAGGGATTTGGGGGGCATTCTGGGGGTTGGCAGGGACATCATGTGGGGATACTCTAGTATTTAGGCGGAACTCTGTGGTTTTTTTCATCTCAAACCATAGAGTTTGCCCAGTTTGGTGTAGTGGTTAAGTGCGTGGACTCTAATCTGGGAGAACTGGGTTTGATTCCCCATTCCTCCACTTGCAGCTGCTGGATGACCTTGGGCAAGCCATAGTTCTGGCACAGCTGTCCTTGAAAAAGAACAGTTTCTGTCAGAGTTCTCTCAGCCCCACCTACCTCCCAGGGTGTCTGTTGTGGGGAGGGGAAGGGAAAGGAGTTTGTAAGCCACTCTGAGACTTCTCAGGTAGTGAAGGGCGGGATATAAATCCAATCTCTTCTCTTCTTCTTCTTCAAATACCAGTGTCCACGATGCAGTGACATCATTGTGTTGGGGACGTTGTGCAGTGATGCCCCTGTTTTGGGGTGGGGTTTCCCCCACCAGCCAGTTGGTCTGTGGTGGGGAGAAGCCCCTGAAACCGGGGGATCCCCCGCCTGGACCTGGGGGCTGACAAGACCACCCCCAAGGTCATCCAGCAAGCTTCCATGGCAAAGTGGGGATTCTTGAGTTTGTATTGCCTGTGAGCAAAGTTGTTTTTCGTGGGGGGGGGAGGCTTATTGCTTGTGCTTTTGAACTACTTGGGGGGCTTTGTTCTTGAGCTGCAGAGCTAATTTCCACCACCTTCCCCCCTCTCTCTCTGCTTCTTTTAGTACACCAAAGCATCTACTGTGCTGTCTGTGGGAGGAATACGGCAGCAGTTTTCACTGCCCGAAAATATCAAGATGTCCCAGTTCTCGGCCGAGTTCTTGCGCTCGATCAATGTACGTCCATGAGTTTTTGTGGGGGTGTTGTACCTGAGGGACCTCACTGTTGTCTTTGTGACTGGCTTTTCTCCGAGCGTTACCTTTACTAGCCCTGTTCCCTAGAAGAGGACATGTGGAGGAAAGGGAAGAAGACCCCGCTCTTGGATGGGCAGCTTGTAGCTGCCATTTTGATGTATAGAGTGCCACGGTGTTACTTCTGAACAAATGTCTAACCTGTACACTACTCCACGTGTCTGGTTAGCAGAAATGTACCTTTCCCCAGGTGCGTCACACCCTCCGATTGTGTATCAGGAGCCGTTTTGCAATTTGCTGCTGTCCTAAGCAATGCATTGTTATAGCAGCCATGTTGGGGTACCAGCTCTGTGGATGGGCCTCCCATTGGCTGGCTCACCATCTGCTTAACCCTGAAAATAATGGTGCTGCCTCCTATCTTGTTCCTAAGAATGTTGCAGGACTTTAAAAACAAAAAACCTGCACAGATCGCAAAAGCAAACAGTGTCCTCATCAAAGCCATGACTATTTTTCAGTTGAATATCATCTTCAAAAAATGATTGGGAAAAGGTGGCTGTAACGATTCCTTGTCTTATATGTGTGTGTGCCGCTTTAAAAGTTTGGTTGCATGGCTGTGTGATAGAATAGAGTGGTTGAAGAGACAAGTGTGGTGTGATTGGTGATTGACAGAGAGGGGGAGGGGTTTTAGAAAGGGTTTCTGAGTGGATGAATGGGTATGTCCTTCAGGAGTGACAGTTAGAGGTTTGACAGTCGATAAAGACAGTTGTTAAGTTTTAGTTCGTTCTGAGGTCTGAGGGAGAGAGACAGTCGTGTGTGATACAAGAGTTAAGTTCTGTGTATGAAGAAAAGTTGAATATATAAGGAAACAAAAATTAAATGAAAGTCTGAGTGACAGACTGGAGTGAAATAGGAAATGTATATGACCCTGAGTAATGAGTTACAAAGTTACTTGAAAAATCCCTGTCAGAAAGGGAGCAGATCTTGTGTGAGACACAACGAAATTGTTAAAATTATTCACATTGCTGGTTACATTGTTCTACACTTTTATTTATGAACTGTTTCAATAAATCTTTTATTTAAGTCTGCCAGCTCTGAAAGAAATAATTTCTTAGGAAACACATAGACCCTCATGAGACTTAAAAACTCGACCTACCTATCCAGTGATAGCCAAAAGAAAGTATAAAGGTTTGGAAAGCCTAAAATTTCCTGGTGGCAGCCTAACCTACCCAGTTAAACAAAATAAAAAGAACACTTTAAAGTGAAACCAGGCCTCCCCAGATAAGGAGACGTCACAGTGGCATTACACTTTTAAAGTGATTCTGAAGTTTTCCCCCTTTTCTCTAGATGCATCTCTCTTCTCTTGTGTGCAGACACACATGGACTGCTTCCTTCTTCCATTCCGAAGCTCTAGCAGTGCCTGTGTACTTAAAAAGGGGTGCCTCTGTTGTATAAACACGTGAAGCTGCCTTATAGTGAATCAGAACCTTGGTCCATCAACGTCAGTATTGTCTACTCAGACTGGCAATGTCTGACCAGGGTCTCAGGCAGAAGTCTTTCACATCTTTCACACCTGCTGCCAGGTCCTTTAACTGGAGGTGCTGGGGATTGAGTTTGGAACCTTCAGCATTGCAAGCAGATGCTCTGCCGCTAAGCCACAGCCGCCAACAGGCTAAGAGTGCTAAGTGGGAGCCAGTTCGCATCTTGTGTCCACCACAAATTCATTCAGCTGTTTTCTCACCCACAACCCCTTGGTCTAATACAGGGGTAGTGGTACTGGCCTGCCCTAACCTGGATACTAGCCTGATCCTTGGAAGTCCAAGGTGGCTACGAGTGGCAGGCGATGACAAGCCACCTCCGAGCATCTCTTGCCTTGAAAACCCTATGGGGTCACCAGAAGTTGAATGCGACTTGATGCCATTTCCCACCACCTATGTTTGCCTACGTTACATAGCTGTTGTGAGGGTCCTAAGATCTGGCCTCTGGAGAACAGGTCTACTCACCTGAGTCTACTATATTGGTAGTCGCCCTGTGCTGAACCTTAGAAAGCATATCAGCATTTGGGTGGTGGTAGGGAAACACTTGCAGTCTACTTTGTGGGGCTTTTTTTTTTAGTGAAATATGACACCCAGCATTATAGGTCAAGTATCATAGAGGTGGAACAATCACTGTCAGACTCAGACTTTTGTCAGAACCCTGCCTAACTTAACAAACAGGAAGTTGCTTTAATGTTATCAACCTGGCCAAACTACTTAGCCAGTTATTCATGTCCCACTTTTCCCTGTGACTCAAGGCAGCTTACAAATCATACTGAAAAGCATAATGGGGTGTGCCAATAAAAATTAAATCAGTTTCCCCCCAGCTCCATTATAGCCTGTGGGGACCATTATAGTCAGTGGGCCCATAGGCTATAATGGAGAATCGATTGGGGTATCTGGTGCTCTGAGGGGACTGTTTTTTGAGGCAGAGGCACCAAATTTGCAGCAAAGCTGTTGGCGCCTCTCATCAGCCCCCCCCCCCCCGTTTCAAAAAGATTGGACCAGGGACTCCAGTTCTATGGGCCCCAGAAGGAAGTGTCCCCATCCTCCATTGCTTCCAATGGAGGCAAAAAAGGCCTCGGTTCATTTGTGAGGTCAGCTCATTTAGTTTTGTGTACCAGTGCCTCCTAGCACAGCTTAGAGGGAACTTTGGTCCTGCTTACCACTTAGCACTATATAAGCACTAAGTTAATAGCTGTCATGACCCATCCCTTCCTGAAGACAGCAGCTCATGAAGTATTGACAGAGCCACTTTTTATTTCCAGGATTACCTTGGCTTTTTCAATGAGCCACCCATCGATGTCCAGTTTAATCCCATGGGTTATCTCTTCTTGGCCTCAGAGGATGGAGCTGCTGTGTTGGAAGAGAATGTAAAAATTCAAAGGTACGGACCTTGAGGGAGACTGTAGTTGAGAGGGAAGGGGGGTGGGAGGAGGAGGACAACAGCTGCACCAGTTGTGTTGATCAAAGAGGTCATTGGAAAAGGCACGTCGAATTGATCTCGGCTGCAGACCAGCTTCCTACCTCCAGTGTCCAGATTATTTCCTGGCTTTGGATTCTCTTTGGGTGAACACGCATGAAACTCCTTTACCTTAGTCACAGTGCTGGTATTGTTTGGCAGCAGCTCTCCGAGGTCTCAGGGTGAGGCCTTTCACATCACCATCCACCTCACCCTTTTAACGGGCGATGCGTGGGATTGAACCTGGGACCTTTGGCATCCGAAGCAGATGGTCTGCTACTGGGCCATGGGCACTGCCCTTTGCTGTAGGCTATTGCCTGTCTTTTATGCGTCAGTGATTGTTTGGGAAAACAAAGGTAGTCTTCTTCATCTGAATCTTTGGACTGTTCTCCAGTGGCAGAACCTTGGACAATGTGGGTTAGACTAGATATCAAAGGGATACAGAAAGTCTCCCTTCTGAAACGGTGACATGAACCCTTTGAGGAAGAGCTCTCCACCCTCTCGATCAGGCAGGCAATTTAATTCACAAAATCCACCCTTGATGATGAATTTAAAGCAGGGGTCTTTTCGTAGAAAAAGAGCTTGGGGGACTCATTAGCATAACTCATTCGCATATGCCACACCCCCTGACATCACCAGAAGTGTGTCATAAGGCCACCCCCCCTGACATCACCGGAATTGTGTCATAAGGCCACACACCCTGCCCCCAACGGTCCCGGCCGCGGCGGGAGTGTGAGGAAGCCCCGCGAAGGCCCTCCCTGGCCCCAGGCAGGCAGGGGTGGGGAGAGGCAGGGAGGAAGCAACTTACCCTCCCTCTTCTCCTGCCTCCTGGCTGAATGAGGGCCGGAAGCGGGGCGGCCGGAAGCAGGGGGCGGGGCTTCGTCATGTGCCCCGCCCCCCGTACCTCACCTGTGGGAACTGCGATCCCCCCCCAAAATGACCTCTGATTTAAAGAGTGATACAAATGAAGACTCTTTTCCCTGTAGGCTTGATTGTTTTAAAGAAAAGCACGTATATGATTGTTCATCACTACTGTCTCCCATTTCTCCTTGTTAATGAGTCTTAGGCAGCTGGGCTTTCAGCAGATGGGTTGGCTTCAGCTAACCCAACTTCATCGTTGGAGGAGGTGAATGACCACTCTGCTCCCACCCCTGATGGTTATGTCTTGTCTACTCAATTCATTTGTATTCTGCCTTTCTCTCCAATGGGGCCTACATTGTATCCTCACAACAACAACCCTGTGAGGTAGGTTAGGCTGAGAGAGTGCGACTAGCCTGAGGTCACCCAGTGGGCTTCCTTAGCCCAAGTCGATATTCGGCCCCGGGTCTCTCAGATACCAGTCTGATACTCTTAACACCACACTGGCTTTGTTTAATTACCCATAGAGGTGGTTTGAAAATTGGAAAGTATCATATATAAGGTCTGTCAAATGGCAACTCACTCGTGGCAACCCCAGCAAGGGGCTGTCGATGCAGGTGAGAAGCAGAGTTGTTTTTCCATTGCCTTCGTCTGCAGATGTCCTCCTCGATCATCTTCCATCCAGGTACCAACCCCGCTTAATTTCCAGAATTTGATGAGATCGGGCTATACCCTGCCACCTTCCCTCCTAAAGTATCTTTACCGTCCCTTTAAGTGCTCGGACTCTAACCTGGGAGAATCTGTCAAATGGCAACTCACTCGTGGCAACCCCAGCAAGGGGCTGTCGATGCAGGTGAGAAGCAGAGTTGTTTTTCCATTGCCTTCATCTGCAGAGGTCCTCCTCGATCATCTTCCATCCAGGTACCAACCCTGCTTGATTTCCAGAATTTAATGAGGTCAGGCTATACCCTGCCACCTTCCCTCCTAAGGTATCTTTACCATCCCTTTAAGTGCTCGGACTCTAATCTGGGAGAACCAGGTTTGGTTCCCCACTTGGAGCTGCTAGATGACCTTGGGCAAGCCATAGTTCTGTCAGAGCTGTTGTCTCAAGGACAGTTCTCTCAGAGCTCTCTCAGTCCCACCTACCTCACA